TGGTTTTTCCTGCCAGATTTGAGATAAAACGTCTCAGAAAATTCACTTGCCCAAGGAATCTTTGTAATTCCTTTTTACTTCTTGGCGGCTGTGCTTCAATAACAGCTCTTGCCTTATTCTGATCTACTTCCAGACCTCGCTCATGCACCAGATATCCCAGAAAATTTCCAGCAGAAACGCCAAATGCACATTTTAAAGGATTCATCTTCAGACCGTGCTTCCTCATTCTTTCAAAAGCCAGCTTTAAATGCTCCAGATGTTCTTCATCCTCATTTGATTTCACAACCACATCATCAATATAAATTTCCATAAAACGACCAATCATGTCATGGAAGATGGCGTTCATGGCTCTTTGATAAGTTGCACCCGCATTTTTTAAACCAAATGGCATTACCACCCATTCATACGTACCAATAGCTCCTGGGCAGCGGAAAGCAGTTTTTGGAATGTCTTCTTCCGCTATAAAAATCTGGTTGTATCCACTGTGGCCATCCATGAATGACAGAATTCGGTGGCGTGCTGCACCATCCACCAATAGATCTGCAATAGGCATAGGATATTCATCTTTTGGTGTTGCCAGATTTAGATTTCTGAAGTCTACACAGATTCTCAGCTTGCCATTCTTTTTAACCACGGGAACCACATTAGATAACCATTCCACATATCTGGAAGTTCTGATAAAACCAACCTTCAACAGCCGCTCTATCTCTTCTTTGACTTTTAAAGTGACTTCTGGAGACATTCGTCTAGGCGGCCGTTTAAAAGGCTTGAAATCTGGTCTAATTGGTAATCTGTGCTCTACCAGATTTCTGTCCAGACCTGGCATTTCAGAATAGTCCCAAGCTAAACAGTCCTTGTACTCATGCAAAATACTGATAATTTTATCATGCAAACACGGCTCAAGAGAACCGTTAATAAAAGTAATTTTCGGATCTGCCTCAGTACCCAGATTTACCTCCTCCAGGGGATCTTGTACTTCTGCCTTCAGATCATCAAGTTTTGCTGGTGCCAGATCCAATTCCTCTAGTGTTATCTGATCCTTCAAATCTTCCTCTTCACCTTCATAGACTACTTCAGATCTGTCTACACAGATTCATTTTTCAGCAAGGTAAGCCGCTAATTTTCTCTTGATTTCTTCCACGGCCTCCTTTTTCTGGTGCTTAATTCGATCTTTCTTCATGGAATTTCTTCGATTTCAGGTTCCTCCCTCAGCCTAAAAGGAACAATTGCTGTAGGCCGAAGTAGTTCATCACACACCTCTTTCACAGTCTGTCTATCAATTGCAGATCTGGTGCAGACAGTAATTCTAGAAGGTCTGCCATATCGGTCCATCCCAAAGAAATGGATAGTCCCAATATCTTCATCATAATAACGAGCCTCCACTGCATTGGTACTCGCCACAAACGGTTTGTCATCTGCTGTCACGACTTCAGTTCTGCCGCCATTCCAGAATATTAATTTCTGATGCAAAGTTGAAGGAACGCACCAGCTGGAATGTATCCAATCTCTCCCAAGCAATGCATTATAAGTGGCAATGGTGTCAACCACAAAAAATGCACACATGAGAGTTCTATTCCCAACAGTCAGTTCTACTGGCAGAATTCCCCTTGAGCGGTTTACTCCACCGGTAAAGTCACTGATTGTCACTTCTATCTCCATTAAATCACCCAAAGATTTGCCAATCTTGTGCAGAATACAAGTTGGCAAAACATTGACAGCTGCTCCATTATCCACCAGAACTCGATTTATTGGCATACCATCTAGATGTGCATGAATGTATAATGGCCTAATGTGCCTGGCCATTCTCTCTTCTGGTTTCTCAAAAATGATTTTATCTGCTGAATCCATGCCACCCTCTTCCTTGGCCGGGATTTCAATGACTTCTTCTTCCTCAGTCAAATCTGTCTGGTGACAGATTGCAGATTCTGACTGCTCTCTTGCTTGAAAGACCAAAGGAAGAGTGATCACCAAGCAAGATAGATTCACGGAAAACTCACCAAAACAGATTACATCTGATGAATTTTCCGCTTTATCCGGCACGTCAAATTTCGCCTTCAAACCAGTTTCTTCATTGGATTCCACAGCCAGAACTCGAGGTGATGTTGGAATTCTGGGTGGTTCCTCCTTTTCTGGAGTATTCTGACCAGATAAGCTCCCTTTTTCCTTACGGACCCACACTGATTTTCTTCTTGCTGGGAGCGGCTGAGCCTGATCTGCCATGCCCCCCGAGTCTGTAATCTGCTGTCGATGTCTTTCTGCAGCCCTTTTGCGTTGTAAACGCCTCCTCAAGGTCCTTGGATTCTGACCTTTAGGAAATTTTGGATGCACCACACGTTCCCACCGTTTACTTGGAGATCTGGGTGGTGGTTTCACCATTCTGGGCTTTTCTGCCAGATTTGCATTATTTTTCTGTTGAGTTGAGTTATGCCCCCCGGGCTGTCTCCTTCGGTATGAACCTGATCTGACTTGATTTCTGCGGGTCCTCGCCTCCTCAATGACCCACCTCAGATCATCAGCGGCAAGTCTGCGCCTATAGTATGTCTGAGATCTGTCCCTGGCAATGCTCCTGAGATCTGCCGCATTCACCCCAACAGACATGGTAGGGAATGGATCTGCATCAACTCCCATAGTTTCTTTGGCCTTATCTGGAAAACGC